TCTCTCTCTCTCTCTCTCTCTCTCTCTCTCTCTCTCTCTCTCTCTCTCTCTCTCTCTCACACACACACACACACACACACACACACACACACAAGCAAATCCTTGGTCTTCAGCAGGCTGTCATCTTGCTGCTCACCTGGGAGCTGTTAGCATTACTCAAGACTGTCCAGTGGCTTTGGCGACCACTTGGATTGCACATCTTAGGACCCATGACAGAGGCCTGCCTTTTTCTGCTTCCTTCCTTGGTGCTGATAACTGAGAAAATTGGGCTGAAGAAGTCTGAGATCTGCCTGTGATTTCAAAAATGATGTGAACAAAAATGATAGGCCAGGAACCATCCATAGAAAGGAACGGGCAAGCGCCTCATGCTATGTCTGAAAACGATTCCTCTTCTTTTGTGATCTCCAGAGATGGTTCTAAGGAGGCTTGAAATATGCTGCGTAGGATAGTCCTGATGCCTCAGGGGTGTTCTTTGACGTATGTTTGTGGAGTGCAGCGTCTGGGAGTGCCTGATTACCTGGGACTGGAGGCTGTACTCACTGATGTTCTGAGAAGGCCAGCCAGTTACTTGGGATCTGCAGGTAGCCCTCTCCTCCTGTAGGTGCAAAGCCCCTTTGGGGTGGGTCAGAACCTAAGAGGATTGTGCTAGGGGGAGGCTAATGCGTGGGACAAAAAAGGAGGCTGAGCCTGTGGCAGGCACTACAGAGTCCTGAGGACACCGAAAAGCCTGTTGTCTTAGAAAGACATGGTAAGGTCTTTCGTTGATGAGGGAGCAGTGTGGGGTACAGGGAGAGAACAGGCCCTTGGCCCAGACCTACCCTCCAGTATGGGGATGCTTGGCCTAAGTTGGGGTTCCCCTTCATGAAAGGGAATGTGTCCGGGTCTTTTATAAATTGCGAAATGAATGCTGTGGGCCGGTGTGGGGAGCAATATTTGAATTCCATTCACGATCCCCTGCAGGAAGTGTTTGGATGTGAAAATCCCAGGAAAACTGTCAATCAAACCCTGTCTGCTGAGGTCATCTGCTGATTGTATTAATATGGGAGAGTTAAAAACAATCCTGGTTTGAGAACATTGAGAAGGTCACTAGGATTGCTCTGTGACAGTTTCATAAAAGGGGGAGTCGGGGTGGTGAGGAGGTAGGAGAAATCATATCCTGAGGCAAGACAGAGGCAGCCCTGCTGGGCTACTCCCAAGGCTAAGAAACACCAGACCCCTTTGTCTCATCTGCACCTCCAACTCTTCCCATGCTCAACCTCAGCATCTTCTAGTAGGGACACTTCCAACTCCCCCAATGCTGAGGAGAGTCCTTACCTCAGCACTTTCTAGTAGGGACCCCTCCAACTCTCTCCATGCTGGAGGGGAGTCCTGACCTCATCACCCTCTAGTAGGGACCCCTCCAACTCTCCCCATGCTGTAGGAGAGTCCTGACCTCAGCACTCTCTAGTAGGGGATCTATTTAACTCCAGGACTTGCCCCCCCCCATAGGCCCCAGCAGATCCATTATGTAACCTGTCTTTTCCGAAGTATAGAACGAAGAAAAGCAGCTGAGGGAGCCACAGCCCAGGAGAGAGACAGGAGAAGCAGGGTAATTAGGGGTTTTAGTCTCTGAATACTGGATGTTTTTGAAACACTTCCAAATTCCCTTTATAGGAAAGGAATGAAATGTCCACAAGGAGGAGGGACCCCCCCTTCCCACGCACACTTCTTTTGTCCTGAGCTCAGCACCTGGGATTTTATGGCGTGTGGTTAAAAAAAAATGCTGTGGTCTGAATACATTCAGAAAATTTGCCTGACAGGGGTGTTAGAGCTGAAAATGGGGCAAAACAAAAGAAAATGGAGAAAACAGAACTTCTGCACACAGATCAGAATCATAATTTACCAAGACGTATCATTCTGTTGTTTTCTGAAGCGTGAAAGCTAATTTAGAAGGGCAGAGAGGCGCACTGGGGTTGGCAGGAGAGCCAGGTCCTGGGGCCTTTACCGTCCCCTTGTTCACAGTCCCCTGCAGAACGGGGTGTGGTCATCTGAAGCTCTCAGGCCAGGGCCACATCCCCATATTAGTGACAACATCCACCAGCGAGATACCAAGAAATGCATTTTTAGTGACAGACACTAATCCCAGAGAGGCAGAATTTAAAGTTCTATTTTAGATATAAAAATTAGAGCATTTATCAGGAATGTTTACTTGTGGCTGCATGGGGTTTTGATGCATGTTGATGTTTCCCGTGTCCTTTTCTGGTGTCCTTCCTTTGGGTCACGTTTGTAAAAGTGAACAGAGGCTCTCCCCTCTGCGCCGAGCTCACCAGCTGCTGATTGAGGCAGGTGCTATCAGACACCCGCAGGGATGCCCAGCAGAAGGGGCTTGAGGGGCAAGGGAGTCAGGGAGAAGCTTTGGTTCAGGCCTACAGCATGGAGTGCAGTCATGGGCCAGTGGGACCAGTGGTACTTGGAAAGAGGTACTGACCAGAGGCTGAGGAAGGCACAGACTGGTACATAGAGGCAGACAGGACGAAAGATGGCTGTGGACAGGTGGACTTTGGTTTCTCCTTTAATTCTTCCCATGATGCAGTAACGGAGCAGCCAGTGACTCTGGGCACCACCCCGATGATGGAGGAAGGGCTGGAGGCAGCTGTTTCTCCGGGGCCACACGGTTGGTGTGGTTGCTGCCTCACCGTGGGTGTCCACTGCTCTGTAAGTACCACACAGCCCAAACACACCTGCTCTGCTCATCCCGAATCACCCAGTCCTGCAAGTCCAGTCTCATGTCAGCTTCTCAGCCTGCTGTGCTTTTGCAAGTGTGGGATTGTATCACGCAAGCCTTTGACAGGCATCACTACTACCACTGAACTGACCCAAGGACTGGGAACTGTTGGGCCAGATGTTTGTTTTTCAGACGGAGACCAGCAGCCACTTGGTAAGAAGTTAGTTGCAAGGTTCTTGCCCTTTTGACTCTTGCTTTTAAGTCCAGGAGGAAGTCTGAGCTCTGAGAATAAACCCTACTTCACAGGACAGGGGTGGGGTGTACACGCCCAGGTCTCCGTGTGTGACTTTGCACTCTTCTCTAGTTAATTCTGAGGTTACAGATTTCTCATCTCACACACCATTTGCTTTGTGGGAGTCTGTGCTTGAGCCAAGATGCACTGATTATTTTTTGAATAAGTGCTTCCCCCCCCTTTTTTATTAACCTGTTTGCATAGAGCTGAGGGCACAACAGCTCTTGGGGTCGGCCAGCTGGCTTCATCTGTTTTGTTACAGTCTCCCCGTGTTCTCACCTGGCCTCACATCGCTGTGAGCGGCACTGTCCTCCCAGCTAGTGATGTCCTTGACACGCTGGTAGCAGACAGCCACAGACAGCCATGGTTCCAGTGTGTTGTAGCAGCACCTGGCAGACACCAGGGTTCTTGGAGAGCATACCCTTGTCAGAACATTGGCGCTCACCTCCTCAGCTTCAGCTATGGAGACTTGGAGAGAAGTTAATGAAAACAAAAACAAACAAACAGAAAGCAAAATTCATGGTCTACCAGGAACTTTTCAGTTGTTTGACTAATAACCATGGAGTGAGGTTCCCCTTCTGATATAGACAGTATTTCTGTGTTTGGTGTCTTGGGTCTATAAATAAATCCTTGGTTGACCTACTTTACAGACATTGGAAATGTAGATTCCAGGTTTGAGTCAAAGTTCCAGAAATTGGGTCTGGTGGGCCCAGTGTTCTGGGGTTCCTGTGTTTGCTTTGATGCACTTGAGGGTGAGGGGGCTCTCTGTATGGGCTTGTTCTCACCCTGCTAGTCTTAAGAATTCTGGCATCATTCAGGGATGGCTGGGGCTTCTGACACCGGACCAAAGTTCCTATTGCTGGCTGAAATCTTTGCAGACCTAGGGAAAGGAGAAAGCCATGACAGGATGGGGGAGGTGGTCGCGGCAGGGATTTTTAAACTCCGGTGGCATCAAAGAAGCATTTTGCATGGAAGATCCCATTAATCCTCCAGCATTTCCTGCTGCAATTTTCTCTATGCTGAAGGGAAGCAAACAAGCCCAGAATTGTAAAGCATTTGGCCTGGGGACACACAGCCAGGAAGAGATGGATGCAGTCCAGACGTGGGCTGTGTTAGTACTTCTCGGTTTTGGAGCCTCATTTTTTTTAAATACTTTCCTCCACATTTCTCTTTACATCAGAGTGTACCTACCTGTCCATCTCATGACCCATGCAGTCACATGGAGCCACATCCAAGGACATCTCTGTTCACATGAGTGAGTAACTCACAAAACAGCCTCTTCCAGAGCCCGTAATGGGCCTCTGCTTTTGACTTGTGTGCGTATTCATAAAGATCTACACCCACTCTGGGGAGTTCTGTGGTCTGCTGTTGGGTGTCATATCATTGTGACAGAGAAGGCAAGAGACACTGTCCTTTCTGGGTTCGTCCTCAAGTGCATCATCCTCAGTCAAGTGGGAATTCAACTGATGAAGATGATGATGATGAAGAAGAAGATGGTGATGATGGCAATGGCAATAGCGACAGGAAGGACAACGGTTGAGTCTCATGCTGTGGCTAGTGGGGGAATGTTAATAATTTAAAGATAATTGAGAAATGAGAGGTTAAAATAAATCTGGGTGGTAACTCCTCTTCTGCTGTTCTTTTCACCCAACCCTTTAGCTTGATCATCCCTAGCCTCAGGCCTCGTCTCCATCCCTTGTTTACCTGTCCGATGAGGACAGCAAGGAGTGCATGTATTTAAGTGCAAGGGGGGAAGTTGAAGCCAAGGGCGTGTTCCAGCCTGTTTTTCTTTGTCCCTGCTCTGTTGCTTAATGTTCATTATCTCTTTACTGCTATTGTAGTTGCAGGAGGAAAACTTGATCTAAGTGAACATCAAAGCCAGATGGAGCTGTGCAAGCATGAGGCCAAGTGCCCCAAGCTCCACCCTCAGTCACTCCTGGAAACTGATTGATAGGGGATATATGCACCTCCATGCTCAATGGAGAGAGGGCCAATTGGAGCTTCTGCTGTGTCTAGATATGTCTCCTTCTGTGACTTTTTTAGAGTAGGCTCTGCCCGAGGCCTCTGATTCTCTTCCTTCGGTACTACAGAGTGGCTACACTCCACCTGGAGTGTTGTGAGTGGTCAATAGATGAGGATTTTGGTGGGGCCTTGGTATAGGACCAGCCAGCGCCTACCAGGCGGCCCTCCACGGTCCTCCAGCAGTGAACGGTAGCATGACCTTTCATTTTATCATGTACTTGGCTACCACTTAGTTTTAAAATGATGTTAAAATTTAAATATTCTAAACATGGACTCTTGCACTTGTGATGCAGGTGCCTTGTACCCCCAGGTGCATGCAGCTTCTCGCATTTTAGAGGTCTCCAGTGGCCACACTTGATGGCCTCTAGCCACACCTGGTAAGGGCTGGTCTCCGGGGGACGGGGTCATGCATGCTACATCCAGCTCCACCTTGGAGAACCATCTGGAAGACACTGTCCATTGGGTTGCATGCTCTTCCTGTCAAGAAGAAAGAGGTCCCACTGAAGTATTTCAGGAGGTTCTCCCCAAGCAAGGGTTAACCAGACTCTTCTTTTGCTTATCGTTGAAAATAAAACAATATTTAAAAGTATTCAGATCAGGGAGGCCATCTGGTGGGGGAGCTCACAGCTGCTCCCCTTTCAATTGTGCCGCCTCTAATTTATTCATTCCAGGGCTCGGCTGTACATTTGCGAGTTCATTATTCGCATTCTGTGCTCAGTGTGTGAGTTCTGTTCTATGAGAGATCCGTGAAGGACATCTGGGCTGGCCACTTCCTGCTACTCAGGATCAGAGTGGACAAGGAGGATCTAGGGATGCAAAGGTGGACAGAGTCATCCTTTTCCTTAGGGAGCTCTCTCTCTCTCTCTCTCTCTCTCTCTCTCTCTCTCTCTCTCTCTCTCTCCCTCTCCCTCCCTGGGCACATCATCTTTCATTCATACCCCCCCCCCCCGTGCTGTATTGGGGGAAATGGTTGGAAGGTGACTACAAGCCACTGCTGAACTACTTTGTACTCCAGCTACATGAGAGCCCAAATCACCCTTGTCTGCACTGTGTCACTGTCCCCAGTTGGGGACTGCACGTGCTGGGAACCTCACAGACAGGCAAGAGGAGTATTAACTGGCTCTCAAACACCTGAATTCCTGAGAATGTTGGGCCTGTTCGGCAACGTGACGCTTTCCATTTTGTTTTTCAGAAGAGGATGAGGGTCTCCGTGATGAGGGAGTTTGTCTGCGGACACATGACTATTGAAACGTTGTGGTCGGTGCCCAGTGCAGATTCTTGGGTCCTTAGCCGCCTCGTCTTTAGGCCCATGTTCTCTCCTGTCTCTGCAAGTCACACCAAGCAGGAAGTATATGGCATGGAAGTCATAGTGGAGCCACCTGGACAGTGGGGATAGTGGTTATGCCTCTTGCCTCTAATATTATCAGAACATCGAAACCTGAGCATCCACATCAACCCGAGGTTGGTGTATTGAAACAGGTCGGTGTTCGCTGGGGTTGGTCTTGTCACCAAGCTGCAGAAACCCTGTTCTAGAGCATCCCTAGGAACTCATTGGAGCATCCTAGAGTTTTCTCCTGTCACTAAGGTGGGAGTATTTACTGAGTACCCACCCAATGGGAGGCGCATGCTCTTCGGAGGTGAGCATCGCTGGCCCTGCGCTTCTGTGTAGCTCACAGTCTAGCCTGGCTGCCTTGCCTTAGTGGTCTCAAATCCAGACTAGCCAATCAGGTGTTGGCTGACATGCCACCCTGCCAGCCTCTGTTGGTGGCAGCTTCATCGAGTGGTAAAGGTCAAAGGTCTCAGACTTTCCAGTCAAACAGATCCGTGGTTTTCTAATCACGGTCTGTTTCTCCACTCTTGGGCAACCTATAGTAACCAAGCTTCATGCATTGCTTCAGAGCCTGCTCACCAAAATAGCTTTAGGGAACATAGCCATTGGCTAGCTGTGTGGCTCTGGGTATGTGTTTAACCCTACTGTGCCTCAGTTTTCCACATAGACTTTGAGGATCTGCATGCTGGCCTTGGAGAGTTAAGAATGGTTGGAGCCGGGTGGTGGAGGCACACGCCTTTAATCCCAACACTCGGGAGGCAGAGACAGATGGATCTCTGAGTTTGAGGTCAGCCTGGTCTACAGGAGCTAGTTCCAGGACAGGCTCCAAAGCTACAGAGAAACCCTGTCTCAACCACCCCTTCCTCCGCCAAATAAAGAATGGTTGTAGTTCCCTTCCACACACGACTGACCCTGTATCAGTATTTGTTTCTGGGCTCCTTGGGAACCCCGAATCTACATGCTCCCCTGGGAGTTGTGTCCAAAGGCCACAGTCCCTATGTTCCCCAGAGCTATTTTGGTGAGCAGGCTCCAAAGCGAAGCACAAAGCTGGGGTTCTGTAGGTTGCGTCTGAGTGGAATGCTGCAGACAGTTTACTGGCCCGGCTTGAGTGGGAAGATCTAGTGCCCCGATGATTTGAATTACCACTCGAAATAATAGAATGAGTGCTCGAAAATCATCGCCCTCTTGACACGCTGGGCTCAGAAACAGAAAATTGCCTGCTATGTCACACAGACCTTTAGAGTTCTTTCTGCACGTGGAGATCACTCGGTGGCACCTGCCGTATGTGCATATTGGAACCCCCTTGCCTACTATGCCTTTGTGAAGCAAACCTGATTTGTCACGAC